GAATCATTTGAAAAAAACACGGGGGTGCTTAACTTTTTTCCAGGTGTATATTTCATTATAGTGCTTATCAAACAGTTTCTAGCACATATTTTCAAGTGACACACTATGGACAACTATGGAATAAGACATAAAAAGTTGTAATAATGTTTAGCTGAGGAATGTATTTTTAATTTTTTTGTTTTGTAAAAATGTTTAATAAAAGCACAAGCTGCAGTTCATTTTGTTGTACTGGTAGGTGAATGTTTAAAAACTGGAATTGTACTCATAAGTAAATGTTTAAAAACTGGAGTTTTTTTATGACAGTAATTCTTACTTTGTTTTACTGCTGATGTTCACAAGAACTAAAATGTTTATACAAAAATATTAAGTAGATTTAAGCTAAAATAATTTGTTGTTGATGTTAGGTTGCCCAACGTGAGGATCGATACATTTTAACAAGTGGTACTCCATATGCTATGGTGAGTTTTTGCTTTTTTTATTTTTCTGGTGAAAGTTATTTTCTTAACACATATGACAATCTTTGTATACCATTTTTACCTTTTGATTGTTAAGAGATGAGGATCTTTTTGGATGATTCTATTTAGTATTGTGATCAGCTTTACATAGAAATATTTTTTCCCCTTAATTATAAATGAAAAACATTCCTGAAAGAAATTTTCCCAAACAAAAAGGATACCAAAGGAATAATATGTGAAATCAAATGCAATGCATGAAAATTGTTTTTAGGTGAAACTAGCAGAGAATTGAACACAGGGATCAAAGAACATTGAAAAGGACCATCCTGTGTTTTCAAACATCCTTTTTCCATCAGGCTTGGTATAAAATATCGAGTCTGTATACACATTTGCATTAGTTAAGTATTTATTGAGGCTTATTTGTTGTAGATGGAGATATATATTTGGTCTGCAATGCAATCATGATGATATATATAACGCCTATATCAGACCCATTCTGGAATAGGGATGCCCAGTAACATGCAACATCTTTACAAAAAACTAAAATCTATCCAGCTAAAATCTATATGATTAGTCTCCCCGTCCACACTCCCGGCTCATACTTACACAAAATAAGTAAATTAGCAACATTACAAGCATACTTCTCAACTCTAGCAAACAAATACTATGATAAGTCTAAAAACAGAAATAACCTATTCACAAAGCTTGCCAATATTGCAGAAAAATCAGCCACATGGACCAAATTCATCTCTCCCTAAACCACATCATCTCACAAAACAAACAACACTCTTTCCAACAACCACCTTGAGCATTTTACCTTGTGCCTCTCCCCCTCTCTTTTTCAGGTTGCCAACCGGAACGTACAACGGACTAAAATGTTAAACTCATTTAACTTGTGTTCAAGTTCTCTACTCTTGTACTATGTTTAAAATTTTTGAATTGTTTAGACTGTGTTTAATGTTTATGAAGTGTAAAGTTCTTGTCATTCATTGTACCCAAAAAATAACATAACATAATCTGTTCCTTGTAAATACTTGTATGTAAAAATAGTTATCTGTAATTGTCTTTTGTGATGCAATAAACTTTGGTTCTGGTCTTGTGTCCTTTCTGGGATGGGGTGTACTGGCCCTCAGGGGTGAGCCTCAGCTGTCTGGATCTGCTACTTGTGTTTAAATTTAGATGATCAATCGTCAGGCATGAAGCTCCAATACACTTCAATTCATAATCAAGAAAGCAACTGCTCTTTCGATCTTCGTCATGGCTTTCCCTAACGCTTGAACCATGAAAAATCAACAGCAGAGAGAAACAACTATTTTATCCGCTAAAATTATCGTAAGCCAGGGAAGGTGGCAAAGAGAAATAATATGAATTTCTGAACACTTCTAGGTTTTCTACTAAACCTAAAATAACTACCTAGATAGGTAGCTAGACCAGAGTCAAAAAACGATATATGGTGGGCATGTTTTGGTGAAGTGGATTCATTCTCCTTGTGAGACAACATTGGCTATAATTTCCATTGATAAATGGCCATTGTGAGTCTATGGTCAGATTGAGACACATGCAAGGCAATTGTAGAAGTTAAACCTCGATGCTGTGCGAAGGACTGTAACTTCCATACATGAAGTTTGAGCTTGGGAAAGTTTGGGTGTAGAATGTTGGATTGAGGTTGCCTCAACAGAGATAGCCAAAGAGGCAGAGGTGGACCCTCTTGAAGATACTATAGAAGAGGAAACCATGGTTGGGCTGGCCAATCTGGGGCTACCAACAGCTCTCAAGTAGAGGATTGAATCATTGCCAGAACTCTGGGTAGTAGATGAATTGGGGGAAGGGAATAGAGGTGCAATCCCGTCCAATCTGGAACTGAGAGCAAATACACCAGAACACCTTGCAAAGGAGCATCCATGCGGTCAGGAGAATCGAATGGGCCAAGACAGGTGATCTGCTATGAAATTCATCACCCCTGAAACATGGTAAGCCAGCAGGCTGATATGATGGAAGTGAGCCCAGTAGAGAAGTATCCAAAGTTCAAAAATAAAGGTCCCGAGAACATGTGCTCCTATGATGGGAAATTTAAGAGACCACTGTGGAATTGATGGAATGAATCATGACAATTTTCCCTTGCAATAGAGCTAGACCCTGAACAGTTACCTGTTGGACAGAAAGAAGCTCTAAGTTATTAATATGGAAGGAAGATTTATCTTCCAACAATATACCCTGGAATTCCTGACCTTCAATATATGCATGCCATACCTGAAGTGAAGCATCTGGGAAAAGATTAACCTCAGGAGGAGGGGACGGTATAGGAACTCCAATGGTAGTGTTGATCTGATCCAACCATTACTCGAGAACTAAGATGTTGCTCCTGTGGAAGGAGACTGAATGATCCAGTGGATTGGAATTCCTGATCCATTGGTTACACAGTTACCATTGAAGGGACTGCATCTGTATTTGTCAAGAAGGAATAAGAGATTTGAGGGATGCCCACATCACAAAAGAGATAAAACCATTGATGTACATAAGAGCCTGACTGCCTGTTCCATAGCTTGAAGCCGGATGGGAGTTGGCTGAGCCCGGCTTAAAACATGTTGAAAAAGACACTCAAATGGACAATATTTTAAGTCAGCAAGAAAATGGATTTCTCAGCTCTGATAAGAAACTCAGCCTTGGTGGCTTCTGAAAGGAGAACCTGTGTGTGTTATTTTGCCAACTAACGAGATTGTGCTAGAAGTAACCAGTCATTCAGATAATGGAGTGTGCACAGACTCAAAGTATGAAGGTGACAAAAAAATTTGTATGACTCTGCAGAAGCCATATGGTGCAGATGCTGGGCCAAAGGATAGAACTGCAAAATCTGACCCCTGTGCATGAACTGGAGATAGTGACAGGATGACTTTGTTATGAGAATTTGGAGAAATGCATCAGCAACATCGAACATGGTCATCCATAAACCTAGTGAACAATACCAACATAGGTAGAAAAAGGACTTCACTGTGAACCTGGGAGGATCTAAGAAATGATTGAGACGAGAAAGATCGACAACCGGCTATCAATCTCCCATATTTTTGGGCACAACAAATAAAACGGGAATAAAATCCCAGAAAAATGGGATCAACTCTCACTAACATCCCCTTGATCAATAACTCTCTGATAGCCTTGGAACGGAGATCCACATCGTATGGGCTGGCATGTGGCCTTCTCCCAATACTTTTCTCTCACATTGTTTACACAATCTGGCAGTTTCTTCTTCTGAAGGTTTTTGACTATCCCCTGTGGCCATTTTGACAACATCTGCTAGATTATAATGAGGAGTGAGTATTTTTGTCCTCCTCTTGTCTCTTTACTTTCCAGGATCCCTTACCTCTTTTTTTTTCACTGGATCCCAATCTGTAGCGAGTGTTGCCCAGAGAGGTGTGCTTTTATCAATCCAGTTCTGCACTATCAACCTATTTCATTATAATTACTACTGGTTGCAACAGGCTCTGTAGAAAGGAGGTGTTCCATGAGACCATCTAAGTGCTCATAAGATGGTATTACCATATTATGCTGGATCGCCACTCATAGACTATCATGAGTAAAGCTAAAGTGGATCCTGCTCGTCCTTGCCAATCATCAGATTGAATAAATTGGGGTTGGTTTGCTTTTAAAAATTTAGGGAACTTGGTTCACCTATTGCACTGTTTCTAGAGCACTGTTCCTTAGGACTTGCCAATGTGCATTACCCCCCAGATTCTACTAGTGGAGCTAGGAAGTCCTTACCACATCCATTTTCCAGTCACTGCAGTGGTGGATAGAAGCTTTTCCTTCAGAGTGTTAGAATGAATTCTTCCACTCTTGGGGAAGAGGGCAAAGTTGGGGGCCCACCTAACTGGGTCCCTGGATGTTTTTCCAGATGTTGGTAGGAGTGGCAGCAGCCTCCACAGGAGCCTACTTGTAATACCAGTTCAGATTTGATGCTAAGCTATCCAGTTGGGGTGTGCATGGCCCTTATTTTTGATCAATATTGCTTCAGTTTATTCTTCAAGGAAGGAGGTCCACTATCTCCTCATAATTCCATACTTGGAGTGGTCCCATTTTAGGTCCTTGGGTGAGCACAGCGTTCCACATCCTCTCCATAATTCCAGGGGGCAAGTGGAATGTTCCTTTCCCACTCAGTTGGGGAGTGAGGATGAATGTTCATAATTCCAGACCAGATGAGTTCTATTTCTTTGGTTGAGTAAGGCATACACGATCCTGTCATTCCGAGCCTGGGGAGTTGCCTTTCAGACTTATTCACGTGTTGGAGAAAGTTTGTCTGCTTTGGTATTCGTTGTGATTCTGGTGGTTCAGAATGCATCACTCTATGGCTACAGGTTGGGATGCATTCAAAAGTATATATATATATATATATATATATATATATATATATA